ACATACTCGTATGGTAAGTCAGATAGAAACCACATACTCATATGGTAAGTCAGACAGAAGCCACATACTTGTATTTTAAGTCAGACAGAAGCCACATACTCATATGGTAAGTCAGATAGAAGCAACACACACACAAACACCACATACTCAAATTGTATTAAGTCAGACAAACACCACATACTCATATGGTAAGTCAGATAGAAAGCACATACTCATATGGTAAGTCAGACAGAAACCATATACTTATGTATTTTAAAGTTAATCAGATTGAAACCACTCTATACTCGTATCAGTCATATGGTAAGTTAGTTATTGAATAACATGAGTTATGGTATTCATCATGGAAAACACAGTTTAATTTAATATTGGTATAATAACAAGCTTTTTCATACATGTGCATAGATTATGTATGTTGGTGTTTTATTTCTTAATTGCAATTTTAAAGCAAATATAGAAACAGATCATGTACCAAGTATCTTACTTGATTTTAGATTTGGAATGGAGATCCACTTTAGTTAATAGTGACTCATTTGATAACCCAGTTGGCCACAAGAATTCAAGGTATACTTTTCTCCCTTTCTTTTTATACGCCCGTCTTAAGACGGGACGTATTATGTTATAGGCTTCATGTCCGTCCGTCCATTCGTGTCCGGCTCATAACTTTAATACTATTAGGCATAGGATTATCAAACTTTGTCAGCTGATAGTTCTTGGGTAGACGGTGTGTCGCGCACAAAAAGTAGGTCGCTCTGACTTTTAATAAAGATGCTATAGCCAAATATGGAAAAATCCTGTCCGGCTCATAACTAGAAAACTATTAGACCTAGAGCTTTCAAACTTGGCAAAAGTATACATCTAAGGTAGAAAGTGTGTCGCGGCCTATTTCAAGGTCACTGTGACCTTTAATTAAAGTGATTATTTTTAAAAAACGAAGTCTTTTAAATTTTAAATTTCATAATCCTAAAAAATGTAAAAATATAGTTGTATCCTTATTAAAAAATGTTAAATTAAGTTAAAACTTATTTTTTCATCATATACTTTACAGCAATCTGTAACAAATATTAATATTTTGAGAGGAATTCAGTTTGTCCCATGGGCATAATTACCAAGCACTGGTCAAGGAGAATTTTGATAGCAGAAATGTGCATGTCAAATTAGAGAGAAATTAATGAGTTTATTGTCGAGAGCTAACTGGCAAGAGCATCTCTAGATCTGATCATGCAGTGTTATCTTAATTTATCTCTTGGGAGTTGGGCAAAAAGAAATGGCCTCATAGTTGCTTGTGTTAATTAAGAGTTCTCGATGGCTATAGTCTAGATAAAGATCTTTCAATTGGTGTAATGTAATTAAAACAAATTGATGTTTTAGTGTAATGATTAAAACTAAATTAGTATTGTATATAATATAATTAAAACTAATTATACATGTGTTCATTGAAAAAAAAAATACATTTCAATTTTTATATATTTGCAACAAATTGCAGTCATGTCTCACTTAGAATTTTATAGTCTAAAGAATAATTCATTTTTGATTTTTTTTTTTAATTAGACTGTAGCATTCCCATTATTTCATAAAATATGCAATAAACAATTTAAAGCTGCAGATGGATATTTATTAAGCTCTAACACAGCCAGTTTAGAATTATATGATGTATTATTTGTTATTATTAATCCCTGCACTGTAAGTTTCTTAGAGATGTATGTACAATATTTTAAACATGATAAGAAATAGAAACTAGATACGATCTCGTTGCGAGCAACGAGAGGTCTTCCGTCCGATTCGGGAAAAAAAACCCTCGTAGAATCGAGCTGAAAAGTGATTCAAAAGTTTGGTCACAAGGAGGATTGAACCCTGGTCGCAATGAATAATTATACACTTTCTTTTTCAATGGGTGGCACTGTAGCTCTCCGGTCTGTCAATATATCTTACCGGAGAGCTACAGTTCTCTCTAGTCCTGGTCTCTCAAGTATGTGTCCAAAATATATATAGATTTAATAAATAAAATTTTTGGTATGGCTGTGGGCCCCTATCCTGACCACAAACTGGTCCTTTTTTTCTCAAGAATCCTGAATCCGCCAATGGTGTAGAATTATCGAATGGGGCTGGCTTTTACTTCATTTATTCTATATGAACTTAACTCTTTCCCATGCGATTTCATATTAAGGCATGTTGATATAATCTTTCTCTGCACTTCTATTTACTTCTGCACTGGTCAATCTCCATTGGCGTCGGAAAAAAAGATATTATATAGGTATTGAAATTGGGATTTACTTTTTTTTTTATTGGTTTAGCCCCCTCACTTTCGATTAGCCCCCCTTTCAATTTGCTTCCTACGCCCATGTGCAGGCCATTCACAATTTCCCGCATACCGTCAAGAGTAAATCGTGGCGCCTTTTTTTCTTTCGTTATTGGGAATACTGCTCTAAATGTACTTGTCTATACTTTTGCAACAGTACACCTGTCTAAAAATTATAGAAGGCACCAAACGCCACGACTAAATCTTCGTGCCTTTTCTTTGGACTGATCTATTAAATAGGTGTGATAGCTTCAATGAAATTAAGAAAAAAGAATGTTCTTCTAGCCTTAATTCGAGGTTTAGAAAATATATTTAACTCATTGTAAACATTGTATAGGTAAGTAACACAAAAGCAGTGAAGTGACTATAATTTTAAACTTTTTTTTATTTCTCGTTTATCCCCAAAGTGAACTATGCTGATTAGTTACACTTTCACGAAAAGGTTGAAGTGGTTCGCCGAAAAACATGATTCACCCTACATCAAGGTATCAGGTACCATTTATGTTTAATAACTTGATTCAGATTATTGAGAAAAGAATGTTAATATAAACTTCATTTATCGATCTTATTTAAAAAAGGTTTTCTTATTTCTTTCTTTTGTATTAGTTTAATATGACACAAGTGTGCATGGGAAACACAGTGGTTACGTTTCTTGAAAAACTAATAAATTTTGAATACTGCTCTAAATATAGTTGTGTATACATTACACCTGCAACAGTACACCTGTCTAAGAATCATAAAAGGCGGGTCACTATTCATAATCTGGCGCCAAGCAGCACGAGTAAATATTCGTGCCTTTCCTTTGGACTGATCTATCAAATAGGTGTGATAGCTTCAATGAAATTAAATATTAAATAAAACAACTTCTTATCGCCTTTATTTTATTTCGACTTTAAGAAAGTATATTTAACACATTGTACACACGTATCTAGCCCAGTTACACTAAAGCAGTGAAACGGAAATTAAGCTTTAAGATTGAAACTGAATTGCAGCGTACTACTACGTGAAAGTCCACGTAGTTTTTTTACTTTTCATGTATCATTTAGTCAAACGCTCAGCTGCCTCCATAAACCCCTACTTGCGAAATGGCGGAGTTGACAGAGACAGCCGCCATCTTGGGTCTGCTTCAGATTTTCAAATATTAATATCTAGAGTTCTGATTAACGAATGTCCAAACAACTTATATAGTAAGCATCAATCAAAGGGTCTCTATTATTATTCCAAAAATAAATAAAAAATATTGAAAAACAAAAAAGTTAGAAAATACGATTTTTTCAATTCGCTTCTCCTAACAACAGGAAGTACCGACGACGAACAAAGTGTCGCGTCCTGGATGGTATATATCACGATGTATAATCCCTGAAAGTTTCATGATGATATCTTTTACCGATTTTGAGTTTAATCGCGGACAAAATGTCATTTTAATTTCAGGAAATTGTCCGTAACTTGGCACCGGAAGTGAGTTTCCAAATTTTCTCTTGGATATACAAAATTCATGTTACGACACATCTTTTCTGAAAATATCACGTCATTCCATCCAGTAGTCTTCGAGAAATCGCGTGCACAAAATTAGAAAGTCAAAAAAATAATAAAAAGAATAATAATAATAATAAGAAGAAGAAACAGTATAATCACTATAAGGTCCTCCGTGAAGACGGAAGACCTTAATTAGATCATTGAAATCTGTGTCAATCTGTTAATCAAGGTTACTTGGTTTTCTTGTACCCCAACCAATTTATGATTATTGAACAATATTTAATGGGCGTATCATGCTGTGGCGGGGCACTTTATTTGCATTGCTCTGTGACATAAATTGCATATGATGTGGATGCATATGCAAAACACCCTTTGTTTGCATTGGACTAAAATATTAAAAAAGGTTATATTATAAAAACAACTCAGGAATATAAATATTAGATGGTGTAGTAATTCACTACATATTTGTCATCCATATAGGCTTTAAAAATATGTATACGTAGGTACAGTGTACCGACATTAAACTGTTACATGTATTTGCTTGGTATATGATTTCTTTCATAATTTCATGTTGTACTTTTTAGGAATTTCCCAGTTGAATCAAAGACACAAGTAGCCAGTCCAGTTCATGTTGGAATATACCATCTCTCAAGTGGTGAGTATATATAATCAGACAATGTCAGATCTACATAGAATTTCAATTATAAAAGTTGAATATTTCCATAGCTTCATGCATGTTTTAATTACATTTCTAAATAAAGTGATATATGATGTGAAAATGTCTATAGTTCAGTACTGTTTTCTTTGAAATCCTGAAATCTAAATGAAGTTTGCTATATTCTTTCTCTTCAGGATTGGTTGATCAGATCAATGACTTCCATCCCATTCCCTCTGAACTTCTGCCTGTGCCTCACGATGGTTACGTGGTGTTTAACGGCATGTACTACATGTCTCAGAATCCCAGGAAACCGCAGGTATCAAAGGCCATTGGTTAATAAATTGACAGTATTTTACCTTGTGAATATTCAGTTTCACTTTGTTATCTCCAACATCAATAACTCGAATATCATGGATATGTCAAAGTGATTTGGTGGTCTGAAAAAGTTTATTCTGTGCCCCATTACCTGTACATTATCTCATGAAAGACGTGTCATAACATTACATTAATATATATATGCATTGTTAGCAATAATATTGTGTAATGTCAGGGGCTATAACTCTCATGTTCAGTATGCACTAAAAATCTTTGATTTGCTCAATGTATTTGTCTGATGCTGTGTATAAGCAGACAAAAAATAACAATACAGTGAATTATTATATTTCTTCTTAAAGAAGAGACAGAGCAGGAAACTTACTGGTATATCTCTGTATGATTTTTTTTAAATATGCAATTTTTTTCTTAGGCAGGAGACATCCGAGTGAGCTATAAATATGCTGGAATAAGTGGAGAGTCGACACTAGGGAAACCTGATGTGGTAAGATAGCTCATAATTATGAAGTCTGTAGGAATAAAACTGATGTGTTTTCAGAGAAATGCCTATACCATTTGTATTTCTGAATTTCCTTGTGTTCAAAATTGAATTGTAAAATGTTTTCTGATATTTAATTTCATATATTAATTAATATTAAAAATAGTATTAGTTCAATACTATAAATATAAAGATCTTTGATTATAATGAAAAACAAACAAATAATTATTACACATTTAGATATTATTGTGACATTAAATTACTTGACTATATATTAAGATTAATTATTTTTTTTTTCATCTTGTCAGGTGAGCATTATAGGCAAGCAGTCTGGTAACTCCATTGTTCTTTATGAAGCTGATCATGGCTATGATTTGCTCTTTCTCTACATGGGAAGACATTCCCCAGAGGTGAGTCTCATTTTAACTTTTAAGATACTAGTACATTTAAGTAGGCAGCCAAAATATAACAGAATAAGTACATGTACAATGTTAGGGGACTGTGCTGGTCTTTTAATAGTTCATATGGCTGCATGCATGTAAAATCTGATTTTCTTACTTATTATTACGTCAGCCAATTGTTTCCAATAGAGTGTTTTTTTCTGCCTTTTTTGTCAAGATACTGGTATACCATTTGATTCCATCGAAAAGAAAGAGCTAAGAAAGATAACTCAATTTGATGTGTGTGAACCATGATTTGACCCATGTTGATCACTAAATTGGATTAAATTATTAATTTCATTTTCATTTCCATCTGTTTCTGCTAATCATATTAATCAGAATATTTAAAAACAAAGATCAAATTACCTGAGCAAAGTTAAATCTTTGATTTAATTATCTTACAAATTTGAACATTTCAGTTGACACAACAAAACATTTTATTGTACTTCAATCGATAGATTTTTAGCTCACCTGAGCTGAAGGCTCAAGTGAGCTTTTCTGATCACATTTTGTCCGTCGTCCGTCCGTCCGTCCGTCTGTCCGTCTGTAAACTTTTCACATTTTCGACTTCTTCTCAAGAACCACTGGGCCAATTTTGACCAAACTTGGTACAAAGCATCCTTGGGTGAAGGGGAATTTAAATTGTTAAAATGAAGGGACATATCCCCTCGCAAGGGGAGATAATCAAGGAAAGACAAAAATAGGGTGGGGTCATTAAAAAATCTTCTTCTCAAGAACCACTGGGCCAGAAAAGCTGAAACTTATGTGGAAGCATCCTGGTATAGTGTAGATTCTAAATTGTTCACATCATGACCCCCGGGGGAAGGACGGGGCCACAATGGGGAATCAAAGTTTTATATAGAAATATATAAGAAAAATCTTTGAAAATCTTCTTCTCAAGAACCACTGGGCCAGAAAAGCTGAAACTTATGTGGAAGCCTCATTGTATAGTGTAGATTCTAAATTGTTCACATCATGACCCCCGGGGGAAGGGCGGGGCCACAATTGGGTATCAAAGTTTTATATAGAAATATATAGGAAAAATCTTTGAAAATCTTCTTCTCAAGAACCACTGGGCCAGAAAAGCTGAAACTTATGTGGAAGCATCCTGGTATAGTGTAGATTCTAAATTGTTCACATCATGACCCCCGGGGGAAGGACGGGGCCACAATTGGGTATCAAAGTTTTATATAGAAATATATAGGAAAAATCTTTGAAAATCTTCTTCTCAAGAACCACTGGGCAAGAAAAGCTGAAACTTATGTGGAAGCATCCTGGTATAGTGTAGATTCTAAATTGTTCAAATAATGACCCCCGGGGGAAGGGCGGGGCCACAATGGGGTATCAAAGTTTTACATAGAAATATATTGGAAAAATCTTTGAAAATCTTCTTCTCAAGAACCACTGGGCCAGAAAAGCTGAAACTTATGTGGAAGCATCCTGGTATAATGCAGATTCTAAATTGTTCAAATAATGACCCCCGGGGGAAGGGCGGGGCCACAATGGGGAATCAAAGTTTTATATAGAAATATATAGAAAAAATCTTTGAAAATCTTCTTCTCAAGAACCACTGGGCCAGAAAAAGTGAAGCTTATGTGGAAGCATTCTGGGGTAGTGTAAATTCTAAATTGTAGGAATCATGACCCCCGGGGGAAGGGCGGGGCCATTATAGGGAATCAAAGTTTTACATAGAAATATATAGGAAAAATCTTTGAAAATCTTCTTCTCAGGAACTTCTGGGCAAAAAAAGCTGAAACATATGTGCCCATGGAAGGATCATGGGGTAGTATAGATGGGTACAGTCCACTAATTGTTTTTCCATAGGCGACAATGTTAACGTTTCTTCCCACAGCGATGTCCCTAATTTTCGTTCAGAAGTGAGTGACCCCTCAAATCAAAGCACATCAACTTGTCTTTCCTTGGTTAAAATCTCGAGGTGGCATGTCAGATTCGTTTTCCGGCAAAATGCGTCTGTCTGCGGGAACCTCTAAAAATGAAAGTGAAAGTAGGGGAATTTCAGAATTCTAACTGGCGTTATAATACACAAAATAATTCGGCTGATCTTCTTGATAAATTACATTTTCCAAGCTTTTTTGGTAGGAAAGATACTCCTTATCAACAAGTGTGAGGCTCAGTTTAGTACATCTGCCCAATTTTTTTTATGCAAGTCTGCAAATTAAGGAACTTGTAATTTTTTCTGCACTACTTTCTTCTCCTACCGATTCTAAAAATAATTAGTGGGATGTACCCAGATTTCAAAATGTCTAAATTATGATCAGTGGGGTAGGGTGGGGATGCATTATGTATAACAAGGGGGAAATCCGGTAAAGAACAGAATGGTCAAAGCTTCTCAGGTGAGCAATGTGGCCCATGGGCCTCTTGTTTTTCTTGTAGGCAATATTTTCTAAGGAACAGCAGAAGAACACTATGATTTCCTGGGCTGTGAGATTTGGGGGCTGGCTGCTAATGTTTGTAGGATTTGGATGTTTAACAAGTATCATCAGAACTCTAGGTATGATGTATAGAACCTTACAAATAAAGAAAAAAAAGAAAGCATAGTGTGTTTAGTATCTGGAAAGGAAACTGTTGAAAGGAGGGGTAGATTTATATATATGACATGACTTTAATTAAAAAGTATCACATGCCAGAACTCAAGGTATTATACAGGCACTTAAAAATAAAGAAGATGAAAGAGTAGTATGTACATGTATAGCATATTTAAAGGAAGTTGATGAAAAAGGGAAGTTTTAAATTTATATATTATTCTTACTTGCATTTTCGGATTCTTTGAATTGTGACCAATTTTAGTTGAAATTAGAAGAAGGGTCTCACCTCCCGTGAGACTGAACTTCTTTATATTTGGAGGAGGAGGTATGCCATCATCTCACTGTTGAACTTGAAATTAATCTTATGATCTGCAATTGAACATTGATAAAATTTAATATCTAAATGTTTTTATCTCTTTATTTTCAGTTGATTGGTTGCCAATAATTCGTGAGCTGGTGGCCATTGGAGTAACCATGATGAACCTTTGTTTATCCATCAGCCTGTCTCTAACAGTGATAGCCATTGGCTGGATTGCTTACCGTCCATTAATGGGAATAGCCATTTTAGCAATGGCTGCCACACCGTTCTTTATGGCTAAATTTAAATCAAGGGGGTCCCATGGACACACTTCTTATGATTGACAGTGTAACTTCTTTATATTTAGGTAGATTTTTTTTCTACCCATCAAAAAGTGTCTTTCATTCAAACTGTCTTCATATAAATATTGTATTCAGTATTTTGTTCTAGTTTTGATATATTATACTAGTAGTTGTTTTTTCCTGATTTTTTTCTTCATGTTCTCCATTAGATGATTTTTTTTAAAGAAAACAGGGCTCAAATATTTGTCATTTTTCATTCTGTAAATTCAACATTACCATGCTTGTAAAAAGCCCTTTAGGGGTACAGTATTTCTCTTTATGTTTTAGAATGCAGTGTTTTGATTAACTTAATAGATTGTGTATTCCACAGAGAGACAGACTGATAGGGAAGAGACAATAATAAAAATTCTCCCTAAAATTTTCCAAGACAATTGGTTTAAACATAGTTTTGTTGATAATTGTAAATTAATACATGTACCGGTATGTAGCATTAAAAAAACCACCTGAGACCTCCAAATAGGACTTGCCAAATCCATCTGAAATGGAAATCCACGAACTTCCCTTGTAGATGCATAGTAAATATTGCATTTTCTCTTTTTTTATTAGCACAATCCAGGTATTTATTATGGATTTGTTAGTTGTCCATCTGTGCTTAATTACATGTATTCACATCACAGCTTAAAATCTCATTAATCATAAGTAAAAGGCAATCGTTGAAACTAGTGTAAAATCACATTTAAACTAAAATTTTAAACATTTAAACTACGCAGAAAAATACTGTATACAGGGAAATTTTCGCCCCCATTTTATTTTTGCCTTAATCACAGTTGGGTGAATTTAAAACAGGACAAATTCAAAGAAAACAATATAATTTAATTCTTAAACAGAACTGAATTTGGGCGACTTTAAAATAGGAAAAATTGTTTGCAAGTTTAAAAGGGCGAAAATAACCCTGTTTACAGTATATGTATTTATTCTTTTTAGTTATACATGTACACTGTAAATTATGAAAGAAACTGTAATGTATACAAAATTCTTATATCTTTGCCTTTGGTTATTAATGTAAAAAAAAATCATTTTATTAGAAATAAAATAAATGATTTATCACTGCAAGTGCAATGAGCTCAGTGATAGTTTAATTCAATTAGTTAGAAAAATTATCATTGGGATTTATAAAAGTACACATATAGCAATGTTTTTGTTGAATTTGTTCTCTTAGTATTAGTTATTTGTTTAATTATACATGTATGTAATACATTGTATATTGATTTTGTTTAAATTTTTTCTGTTCTTTAGGAAGTAAATACTAGTAGTGTTCTAAGGTGATTGGAAAGAAGTAATAGTAGTCATTGTATATTTGATATTTATAAGAAGTTTTTGTTGAATATATTTTACTGGAGATACCCTTTTTGTCATTTATCCTAGTGGGATAGTTAATTTTGATAGCTTTTGATTATTTGCTTTATATTTACACTTGTGATAAGCAATATTTAAGCCTCAGTAAATTTTGTCTTATAAAATGATTCAATAATAAAAAAAAACATCTCAATTTTGTTATTACACCCACACTTTCTAAGGAAAGCTTAAGTTGGGCTATATTTCTAAAATAATCATAGCCCCTCCACATTCCTCTGTCATGCTCTCTTGTAATCCTCTCATATTTTAAAAGCAGCCTGTAACAAATTCGTTTTTAGCTCACCTATTCTTCAAATTTTGACCTTTACTCGGCACTCAGTGCCATTGAGTTGTGAGAGATCTCTATTATCGCGCCAACGTCTGCCGTAACACGGGCCTCAGTTTTTAAGGTCTTATCTGAAGGACCCACAACTTTCACTCAAAAATACCGAGTGCTTGGCAAAGGACAAGTTGCTACCCATTTTTTATCGACTTGGGCTAGTCACGGCCGAGATTCGAACTCCCGACTTTCCGATCACGGAACGAGCGTTCTATACCGACTTTTGATCAAGAAATAAATGATGTCTGCTACACGTGGGTCATGTGTATCTGTTTGACTTTTTAAAAAGCTATCAAAACATGTATTTAAAAAAGATTTATCTCTTTGAAATAAAAATGTGAAATTACATCATCTAGGCTTTCATCTTAAAAAACAGCTGTTGGCGATACTTAAAATAATATTTGAGTTTTTTTTTCTGTATCGATTTTTTTCGTATCCTGTTCAACTTTTCTTACAAATCCAAAACGCGGCAAGGATGCTAGAGATGGACCTGTATGTAACAGAAGTTCTGTTACATAACGCTATCCCTCTTTACTCCACTCAGTATTTTACCCCCAGCCAACAAGTTCCATATAACCCAGAACTTGCACACTGACAGTGTTGGAGTTGTTTACAAACCTTTAAAGTGCGTCCAAATTCGATGAAAAATGTCGAGCAAGGAAGAGAAAGGTAAGTGTTAAGACTAAAATATTAAATATATACTTTGAGAATCACACATTGTGTATACTTGTGGTGAAACATATATAATTTAAAAAATGTTTTTGTATGTTTTTTTTTTTTGTTCTTCAATTAATACGTAGTGCATTCATCTTCTGACCATCTTCCCAAGGTTTCTAATTTAATTGGGGAGCAGAGTGGATCAGAAACCCTTGACTTGGGAAGATGTTCCTGACTTACTGTGCATAATTTAGCTTATATCCCAATTAAGTTATTAACAATTAAGTTGTGTGTTTCAGATGTATGGAAAACAGGCTGGATGCATATGGCTAGTTATTTATTTTGACAAGATAACTTTAAGATCATAAGAAATGTCTAAAACTAGCAAAGGCATTTCTTTAAATTTCAATAACATTTCTATAGGTCTTTCAACTAATTTTTTCAAGTTGGACATATGGTAAAAATATTTCATAGATTTCCTTTCATATTTTACACACTCCTAAGCCGGGATTACCTATTGTAAACTCTTTTTGTATAACCATAAAAAATTATTTTACTGAACTTACACAAAAAAAGTCTCATTTCCCCATGTGCACTTTCTAACACAACCATAAATAGATCGGCCGCTGCTGTGGCCAATTATAAAAAAAAGCTTTTAAAAAAAAAACAATACTGTTTTTAAGCAACAACCTTAAACAGTAATTGATCTTCATCTATCTATCAGCTAATTATTATTCTTGGGAATTTCTTGATTTGTATTTCTACGTTAGTTTTTTACTGGCATTAGCCCTACC